GCATTCAAAGGTAAACCTGAGAAACATTTTAAAACAGTTGAATCTTTAACACAGTCACTTCATCAACACTCTAACATGTCTCAGAGTAAACACGGCAAAGGTCAACAAGCTTACGCTGGCTTTACTACAATGGACCACCAAAATCCAGAGCCAAATTCTGAAGAAACACATTTCCAGCTTCCACTCAAGAGGAAGCGAGGCCCGGATTATGCTGCACAGAATTGCAGAAGTCCCGACAGCTGCTCTCCACCAAGGAAAAAGAGACAAATCTGTGAAGAAAAAACTGTGTTGAAAAGACGATACAGTCAGATTTCAAAAGGCAGCAAAAACAACTCTGAGAGCTACTCTCCAGAGAGAAAGAGGATGAGAATAGACACTGAGAAAAAAGAAACAGCAGTGACTCGGAGCATCCAAAAAGGTTCTTCTTCAAGGACTATCCAACTCCAAGTTCAGAAAAAGAACGATATGAACTTGAGTGATACCAAAACCTCTAAAAACACACCAAAATACAACAAGAGGCCAGAACAAGCAGCAGTGACACAGAGCAGCCAGAAAAGTTGTTCGCCAAGGACTATCCGACTCCTAGTTGAGAAAATGAACAATATGACCTCGAGTGATACCAAAACCTCTGAAAACACTCCAAAATACAACAAGAGGCCAGAACAAGCAGCAGTGACACAGAGCAGCCAGAAAAGTTATCCGCCGAGGACTACCCAACATGTAGTTGAGAAAATTGACATTACGACCTCGAGTGATACCAAAACCTCTGAAAACACTCCAAAATACAACAAGAGGCCAGAACAAGCAGCAGTGACACAGAGCAGCCAAAAAAGTTGTTCGCCAAGGACTATCCGACTCCTAGTTGAGAAAATTGACAATATGACCTTGAGTGATACCAAAACCTCTGAAAACACACTGAAAGACAACAAGAGGCCAGAACAAGCAGTAGTGACACAGAGCATCCAAAAAAGTCCCTGGTCCAGGACTATCCGACTCCCAGGTCAGAAAAGAAACGATACAGCCTTGAGTGATACCAACATCTGTGAAAACACACCGAAAAAGAAAGAGAGCCCAGAAGACCAGAGAGAAACAAATGTGTGGATCATTGGGTCCAGTTACATCAGACGAGCCGAGGGTGAAGAAAAAGAGACTTTTGGAGAAAATTTTGGACTTAATGCCAAAGTCCAGTGGTTTGGCAAAGGAGGAATGCGCTGGTGGGGAGTCCTTCCTCATTTTTATGAGGACCTATCCACACAGAGTCCACCTGACATACTGGTAATCCATGCTGGGGGCAATGATTTGGGACTCTTTTCTGCTTATAAACTTTCTTCTGTCATTGAGAAGGAATTACTGCAACTGTACACAGAGTTTTCCTCAATGACACTTGCATATTCATCCATCAACGAGCGTCAAGTGTGGATATATGGAAATCCAGGCAAAATCAATAAGGACAGGAACACTGTGAATGCCAGCATTAGAAAGGCTGTCGACCACTTCGATGGAGTGATTATTGAGCATCCGCAAATCAGGTTTTTCGACAACTCCATTTTTTTACGTGATGGAGTTCATTTCTCCAAGAAAGGAAATGAACTGTTTCTGACAAGCATCCGCACGGCCATCCAGAAAAGTCTTCAGTCACGTCACTGAAAACTGACTTGAGACTTTTCTTTCACAGTCCAGAAAACCATACGTTGTTCATTTTAGGCAATGTGAGCAACATATAGCTAACATGTGCTCTCTTTTTTCTTTTCCTCTGCCTCTCACCCCCCAACCAGTCACGACAGATGACTGCCCCTTTCTTAGCCTGGTTCTGTCAAAGGTTTCTCCCTTTTTATAAGGGAGTTTTTCCTTTCCACCGTTGCCCAGCGCTTGCTATTAAAGGAGATCATTCGATTGTTGGGGTTGATAGTTTAGAATCTAAACTAAACTAATAAACATAAAACATCAGGTGAGGGCAAGGCAAGGCAAGGCAAATTTATTTGTATAGCACAATTCAACAACAAGGTGATTCAAAGTGCTTTACAGAGACATTAGAAACAAAAACAAATAAAAAGCATGATTTAAAATTGATTAAAACAAGCAAACAAACAAACTAACTAAACACACACATTTCCCACCTGTTCGCACGATCTGAACCCTTATCGTAAGGGGAGCTACCAGTCCTTCTGTGGACGAGCTACTTTCTATTTTAAATTCCCTGAATTTAAAGTACTCTCTAGACCCAGTCTAGACCCAGTTGGGTTCACATAGTAGGGAGCACTACAAAAATTACAAATAAAAACATGTAATTGGCAGCAAATCAAAAATAAGAAAAATAAAAAAATTGAAAAATATCTCTTACTGCTCTGTTTATTTCCTTAAATGAACACTTGTACTTTTTGTCATAGAAGAATAAGAATATGAATATGAATATGAGCCGAGAGATATAATCTCTCCAGCCTGTCTTGGGTCTGCCCCGGGGCCAAATGCCTGGTGGCACCCTTGCCTCCATGGGCACCTTAACTCATCACTTTTGGCGCCGAGAATGTATTTTATGAACTAATATTAGTAGGCTGAAGCCTTTTATTTCAGCTGTGATTGTTTTTGTTAAGATACATATTAATATGTTTTTTAAGGATCAAGATGTGGGTTTGTTTTTACAGCTTCATTAACAGTTGTTTTTTCAGAGATCAGATGTCCTCACAGGACAACATATACAAAAATATGATTTTACAGAATATGATGCATCGCTGTGGATTAAACAGTGTAATAGTTTTGATATTTACCTTAAAGAGCAGTAACGCTAATCAATATTGCACAAATAGAGAAAATCACCAAAGTTATTGGCTTTAGTTTTGATATCTTGACAGTAAAACAGTTTTATGTCTCCCGAGGTCTTTTCATTGTTTTATTGTTTCTTTTGCTAAAGAAAAAAATCCCTGCCATTCCTCATTGTTAGCTAATCATGAATCCATCACTGGATCACACCCAATTGCTAGCACAATAATCATGTTTAAGGTTGTGAGCTGGTGTCTGATTTGTGTTTTCGTTAAATAAAAGACATCATCTGCACAAATGAATGCAGAACAAATTCATCAGAAAACAGAAAACTAAGTGTCTGATGCTAAAATACCACATATGTTCCCTCCTATAACAAAAATTTAAAACTAAGGATTATTTACAGTATCATATTTTTTATCAGATATGTTCTTATTAGTTAGTCTTAGTCTTATTAATGACAACCAAAAAAAACTGGTTCACTCACACCTTAGACCGATGTTGGACAACATGCCTCCGTCTAATGTTAAGTCAGTCTTTGCATTTTTTCCAGGTAACTCCCACAGGCATGACATGATGATTAAAGCTTGGATGTGTAATCTGTCATGTGTATTATGTGCTCTCCAGCAAGATAAATTCATGTTTTTTATATAGTTTAACAAAACTCTTTGCAACACAGGGTACAGAGGCCTGTTGATTCAAACAGGTTTGTTTAGATGGACCTTTTTTGAGTGCATGTTTTGTATGATAAGTTTTAATCTAAATAAACACTTTAATTAGTAGCTTTAAATAACAGTCATCATACCCTGCAGAATTAGAGACGGAGCAGCCGGGCTATGTAAAAAGCGTAAAGGGGCGTGTTCGCGGTCATGTCCAGAGACGCTCCACCACACTTTACTACTGAGCAGACTCTGGCTCCAAAAGTGGAACATGGCAGCGCCCACAAGCGGGATATTTTGGCTTCATTTTCGCACAATGGGAGGAAGTGCTGTCACAGTGTTCATCTTTTATACAGTAACTGGTTAGGACCAATTAGCCAAACAGCAATCTTCTCCTTAAGAAATTTCAAAAATATACAAAATAATATATATAACTTCATAAGTCGACAAAAATAAAATCCAGAAATGTCGCTTTTCAGATTCATGATTCTTTCGGTTACATCATAAAGATGTTTCAAGTTCAAGTTTATACACTTAACCTTAAGTTGAGGTCTTTCATGTTTCTTTAACAAAAAAAATCCCTATTCAGAAATCTCTCTTCTATATGATGGTATGTGTGTGTAAATGTGCATGCGTGTCTGTGTGTGTACAACGGACCACACAGCAAGCATTTGTTTGGCCTGCTAATATGGCGCCTCGAGCAAAAATTCCGGCCACGCCCCATCCCTTAAGCTCCCGCTCCAAAGTCCTGTTAACCTACGGAAAGAAGACGCTGCATTTTTAACTCTGAGGGAGATGGAGAATGAGCCTATTTCCAAAAAAAGTGGAGTGTGTTTCTTTAATTACTATATTGTCAAAAACTAAAGTGTACACACACACACACACGCACACACACATACACACACATACCATCGAATGGAAGACAGATATCTGAATGAGGATTTTGTTTTTTGTTTTTGTTAAGGAGACATGAAAGACCCCAAGTGTACATAAACAGTTGTTGTATCTTGTTTACTGTATCACTGACAGATAATTTCAAAGTCAAGTTAATGCTACATTATACTGAGATATTTTGTAATGTGAAATACTGTAAGCAAATGAATAAACAACCTCATTCTTGCTAGACCTTTGACTGAGATGTACATAAAACATTGTTACTTTTATTATTATTATTATTATTACTATTATTATTATTTTATTAGAGACTTCAGGAACATAATTTTTTCCATATATGATGATGATCATGATGAATGAATTATGATCACATGGAAAAGATACCGTTTGTATGTTTAATAACATGAAATATGTATGTTTAAAGCCAGTGACAGGTACTCAGAGATAAGGGTGCTCTCTGCTGCCCTCTAGACCGAACAGACTGTCAAAACACTTTATTTGTATCTAACTATCATGCAGTTATAAGCATAGTAATTGTATAAAATGTGTGTAAAAATATAATTCTTTAAATACACTTACAAGGGAAACTGCAAAGTTTTCTGTTACTGTCTGATATTAATTGAATCTATGTACTATGTAGAGTACAGATCAGAGTAACATGCAGTACTGTAAGTGAAAGGCACTCTTGAGTTAAGAACACAGTATGGTATTTATTCCTCCCTCAGCGCCTTCCTCTCAGCTTGGCACCTATTCAGACACTCTTTGCACAGGAAGCTTTCTTTGACTAGGTAAAAGCTCTCTGAAATACTGACTGGTTTCTCAGTGGGTATCTTCTCAGCAATAATTGGATTCCTGTCCATCTTGATACTCTCCAGTTTTTTCAGCTTCAAGAGGCAGCTGGGGAGGCGGGTGAATCTGTTGTCAAAAAGGCCAATGTGGCGGAGGTCCTCCAGTGCACCAATGGAGGCAGGAAGAGCTTCCAGCTGGTTGAGACCCAGGTTCAGTGTTTGGAGTTTATTCAGGAGGCCGAGCTCACTTGGGAGGCTTGTGAGACGGTTGTTGCACAGGTTTAAAACCTTAAGGTTCTGCAGGTAGCCGATAGCCACGGGGAGCTCCTCCAGCTAGAAACAATAACACATTTTTTAACAGATGGTGATTTTGGTGCATTAAACATGGACATAGTTACGAACCATGGTACAATTTTGAAATGGGCAAACTACAGCTGCCAACAGGCTAGTTACAGTTAGCGGGTCTCTAAGGTGTCCCCGTATGTTTGTGATTATTTAATGATTGGCTTTTGATGATTAGTACTTTAATCTAGAGGTTGTTGGGTTTTTTTTAATGGGCTTAATTTTAAATATTTGGAATATTTAATTATTTAAAATGATTTAAAATAGTGTGACACAACAACTGTGTAGCAGCCCCACAGTATTGCTGCTATACAGTAGCTACCATTTATTTACCTACTTTTAAAGAGTTGTTGTAAACATTAGACATTATCTGTCACACTCACATAATTGCTGTGCAAATCCAAAACAGTCATTTTGATGAACTGAGCAATAAAATCTGGAATTTTTCTGATCATGTTCCTGCTCAGGTCCACTTCATCCATGTGAAAGAGCTTCTGGATGCACTTTGGAACAGCTGTAATCCCCTTGAAAGTGAGATCCAGTCGGCGTTTACCATCCAATGTCAGCTCCACGCAGTTCTGGGCCATTTTCAAGGTGATCTTCTTACTTTTAGTCTTTCTTTTGGCTTTCGTTCCCTTGGCCATGCTGTTAGTCTGTAGTTAACCTTTTCCACTAATGCGCTGTGACGACAGAGTTGACCGTGGAGCCAGTCTGTGAGATCACGTTACCCAGGCAGCGGTAACTGTAGACAAAGTCAAGCTTTACCTTTCCTGTTAGATAAAATATGAGTAACCGTATCATTTGCTTTGTTCCACGACAACAATGCTAACATGACAACAGAAATCAGAAGACTTGCAGTGAGTTTAAACTTATGAACAGAAAACACTTTTGACTCCTTACCAGCATTAATGCCTCCTCACACCCAGTTCAAAACAGCAGGGAAGAGAAAAACAGAAGATACTTGACTATCTCTTTCCTCAGCCTAAGAATGTTGCCACACGTCCAACTGTCACTGCAAAGAGCTGTAAATAGATAAGCGGTCAGACTGCTGCTGTTTGACAGGTCAAAAATCACCATGCTGCATCATGGCTGTCTGTCAGCTAGGACTCACTTGGGTAAATGTGGCATTTTTTGTAATTTGTTCCCAGGCAACTGCTGTTTTGTCTGGTAGCTTTGGTTATAGCTATAGCTTTATAGCAATGAGCAGCCACCACTCACAGCAGGGCAGTTTGTTCTTTTAAAAATCTGTGTGAAGACATTTTAAAAAACAACAGCTTCAGTTTCCAGGGATTATCCTCTTTCAAATGAAGCTATGGAGGATTTCAGGTCCAAATTACTGATAACAATGAGCTGTTGATGCCTGTGTGACACCTACAAGTGTATGGTCAATTGTATTTTTTTGTAAAACATTTATTAATGTAAAAAGCATTTTTTCATGGTGGTATTGCACTTTTCAGTTAAAGTTATGAAGACGTGATTGCGTGGCAACGCCACAAGGGAGAAGTAGTTGTGAGCGCGATAGGCCATTGCAACGCTTCTGTACCTCAGAGGAGGAAGAGCCTGCAGACCAAATGCAACTCATGTCTCCTGTCTCTACTTTTCTGTATAAAAACAGACCCCATGGAATACCTGTAACACCTGTAGCTGATTTGTCCATATTTTTGTTATTTATCTCACTGAAATGCAGCTCTGCGCAGTACTTTGTATTTGCCACTTTGTTTGAAATGAAGAACAAGTACTGCTGCCTACATAACAGCGAATGTATACATTTATACATGAATGTGAGTCCCACAGCCTAAGTAAACCAACTATACACATACTGCTTACATTGCAAATGCTGGCAGCTAATGAGGCCATTCTTGCTTTATATCTGAAAAAACACCTAAACTCCCACTGCTCCACCAGACCTCAAAAGTTACTCAGTCTCATCTTTTCGTCATTTTTAATGTTTACATTATTAAAAAAGTTTCATTAATGATGGGAAACAAAATATCCCAAACCTCGCTCTGAAAAACAATGAAATGGATGTTGAAAAGGATAAATAAATAGTGCACAAGTCA